TCAAAGCATCATACTTCCTGATTTCAGTGTAATAAAAATGTATTACAAAGCTATAGTAATTAAAACAGTATGGGGGACACCTGGCTCAGTTAGTGAAGCGTCTGCCTTCAGCTCGGGTCATGATCCCAAGGTCCTAGGATCAAGTCCCACATAGGACTCCTCGCTCAGCGGAGAGCCTGCTTCTCCCTCTGTCTGCTGCTCCCCCTGTTTGTGCTCTCTCTCTCTCTCTGACAAATAAAATAAAAACAGGAGAACAACAACAACAAAACAGTATGGTACTGGCATAAAAGACAGATGTAAAAGCCAGTGGAACAGAATAGAGAGCCCAGAAATAAAGCCATGTATATATGGTCTCCTGATCTTTAACGAGAGTGCCAACAATATGCAATAGAGAAAGGATAGTCTTTTCAACAAATGGTGTTGGGAAAACTGAACTTCCATGTGCAAAAGGATAAAATTAGACCCTTACATTACACCATACACAGAAATCAACTCCAAATGGATTAAAGACTTAAATGTAAGACTAGAAACCGTAAAACTTCTGGAAGAAGGAATAGGGGGAAAGCTTCATGATATTTTGTGGATATGGCACCGAAAGCACAGACAACAAAAGCAAAAACAGACAAATGAGACTACATCAAACTAAAAAGCTTCTGCACAGTCAGCAATCAATAGAGTAAAAAGGCAACCTATAGAATGGTAGAAGATATTTGTGAATTATATATCTGATAAAGAATGAACTTCCAAAATATATAAGGAATTCCCCCAACTGAGTAACAAAACACACTAATAACCCAATTAAAAATGGACAAAGGACTTGAATGGACATGTCATCAAAGAAGACCTACAAATGGCCAACAGGCATGTGAAAAGATGCTCAAAGTCACTAATCATGAGGGAAATGCAAATCAAAACCATAATGATAAGACAGCTATTATTAAAAAAAAAAAACAGAAAGACAAGTGTTGGTGAGGACGTGAAGAAAGTGGTACCCTTTCACTCTTTTGGTGGAAATATAAAATTGTACAACTGCTGTGGAAAACAGTACGAAGTTTCCTCAAAAAAGGTAAAAATAGGGGCACCTGTCTGGCTCAGTAAAGCAGGCATCTCTTGATCTCGGGGGTCATAAGTCCGACCCCTCATTGGACATAGAGATCACTTCAAAAAAAAAAGTTAAAAAAAAAAATCGTGTGATCCAGCAATCGTACTTCTGGATATTTATCCAAAACAATTGAAATCAGGATCTTGAAGAGATATTAGCACTCTCCTGTCCATTGCTGCATTATTCACAATAGTCAAGATGTGGGAACAGCCTAAATGTGCACCAGCAGATGAATGGAAAAATAAAAAATATGTATATATATGCAATGGCGTATCAGCCTTAAAAAGGAAAGAAATCCTGCAATGTGCCACAACATGAATGAACCTTGTGGACATTATACCAAGTGAAATAAGCCAGTCACAGAAGGACAAATACTGTATGATTCCATTTGTGTGAGGCATCTAAAATAGACTCATAGAAGCAAAGTCTTCTTATCACATTAAAATTAAAAAACTAAAAAAAAGATACATAATGAAAAACCAAATAGACTGAAAAAAGAGTTGAAATTTCAGTTGCTTTTTTTTAAAGAAATTGAATGAAATAAGTGATGCTATAACATGAGTCACTGCCTGACCTATAGTTGTTTGAATCTGCATCCTCTTTTGTAGTGTCACTGATACATAGCATAGGCGTGAGGATGGAACTAGGAGGCATGGATGAGATCATCCAGAGAGTGTGTCTAGAGAGAGAAGAAAAGTAGGCCAAGGGCAGGATCTTAGGAAAACACCTGAGGAAAGGGGTTCCCAAAGGAGCCTGAGAAAGATGAGAGAGGTTGAAGGAAAACCTGGGAAGTGTGATAGCATCAAATCCAGTGGAGCAGAAACGAAGGAAGGAAGGAAGGAAGGAAGGAAGGAAGGAAGGAAGGAAGGAAGGAAAGAAGGGAGGGAGGGAGGGAGGGAAGGAGGGAGGGAGGGGGAGGAGATCAACATTATCAAATGTCTTTGTTCTGTATTATGTGTCTCCAAACCAGAAGGGAGGCCAGCCCAGCTACTATAGCTTAGTTCAGAGATTCCCAAACTACCTTGGTTCACAATGCCCTTGAGTCTAAGTAATTTTTTCACAGTACTCCAAGGCCAAGAGCAATACTAAACAATTGCATGTATTAAGTATTTAGGTCCAAACATGTTAAGTATTTATGTCCTTAAAACTTAGTAGCCATTTGAAAAAAATACTACACCTAAAAGAAATTTTAACTTCTTTTTTTATTTCATTCTTAAACAAAATGACTTACTTATGGGATGTGTGCCCCTGTTGGGCACTATACAACTTCTCCAACCTTCTCAAACTGATACCCTCATTAACTGATCTATATCAATTTTTATACAGAACTTACTTTTTATCATAGCAACTGCAGGAAACCCAGCATGGAAAGAGATGTCACTGAAAGAAATGTAGCTCTATCTCCTCGGACATTGTGAACAGTCTCTAGCTAGCTGTTTTCACAATGTCTGAAAGAGGTTGAGATGCCCTCATAGAGCCCCATAGGTTTGCCGCAGTGCCTGAGACACCTTGGCACAGAGTTTGGGAACTGTAGGGTCAGACAATATGAGCTGGTCTAGAGTCATATCATTTAAAACTGCGCTTCTGTGGAGACATTTGGTCTGAAATCCATACAGCTCACCTACAAATGAATTTATGGAGTATAACTGGTTTCCGACTTGAATAATTACTGCCACTGCTAGTTTTCTTAGCTTTACACTAACTTGGGAAGTAGGATTACCTAAATAAATCCAAAGTTTAGTGCCTTCAGTGCTCTCCCCAAACAAACCTTTCCCCAGAATTAGCAAATATATTCTCCTTTCTCTTGCCTTCCTCTGATTAGAAAAGAAACAGGATAAAGTGTTAGGGAGGGGGTAAGAGGAGACAGTGACTGGGGCTAATGCAGCCGTGGTGGGAATCTGCACGAGAGTACTTGAGGCCTGACTGTGTGCTCAAAGACTATGCATGAGATCGTCCATTACCTAACAGCTCCAAATACCACAGGTGGCTAACCAGTGTGGACCTTGGGCAGGTCACTTAACCTTTCTGGACGTCCTCTCTTGATATGTGTGTGTGTGTGTATGTGTGTGTGTGTGTGTGTACCTATATGTGACATGTAGCAATACAAATATTATGTATTAAAAGAAAAGTGAGAAATTGGACTAACAGTACCACATCAAATTGATCAAGTTATCTCCAAAAGCCAAAAAAACATGGGCTTCGGTTTGTTTCTGTCATAAGTAGATGAACAGTTTCCATTTGCCATCTTGAATTAGTGAAACAGCATCAGTTAGTTCCAGTCCCTCAGCCCACTGCTGGCTACCATGCTGGACCATCCCATTCCTTATGGCCCTTTGCTTGCCAACATTCCTCCTCTAACCAAGGAGGAGGAGGAGGTCCCGGGTGGCAGCAAAGAGACGCTGTCCCTGCCTCAGCCGCCACCACTCTCACTACCAACCAGAGAGTTCTGCTTATCCAGCCCCAGCTTATTCAGTGTTCACACCCACTGGCTCAGGCTCGGTGAGCAGGCTACGGAGTCTCTCTCAAAACCATTGTCAGCAGGGGACGGGACACCTGAATTCAACCCCACCCCTGCCCTCATCCCCTTTTGTGTGCACTGCCAGTGTGGGAGAGGCCCAAGATGAGACCTGAGAAGCAGGTCTGAGGCGGTGCCAAGGGTTGGAGGAGAGAGAGAGAGGGGTTTCATCGAGTCTTGTTTCCCAGCCCCAGCCCACGCTACTGTCCAGAAAGAATCCCGGACTGGGGGGAATTTAGAGCAAGCTCTCTAACGAATCACACCAGCCCACAGCATCCACGGCTCCTCACTCATGGTGCCATCTAGAAGCTAAGAAACAGGTTTCCCCTGGTCTTTGTTTCCTTCACTGCCTTCTGCAGCCCTGTCATTTGCTCAAACACCCTGGTGGGAGCATGTTCGGGCCAGCGGTGTCCCATTTCTTCAACAGCCCCTGTACCTTGTACCTTTCCTTTCCTCATAAAGGCTGAAAAGGCTCCTCTTTGATTTCCAAAGCCCCCAGCATGTTGATGCTGTGCCAGGAGGGGAAGCTTCGCTCTGGCTGGCTGGCTGGCTGGCGGTTTGTGCTAATTGTCTGGCTGCACTTTAGAAAGAGGCTTTTTGAATCTGAGCATTTAGGGGGAAAGTGGAGAAGTGTGGCTGTATGAAAGAGCAATTGATGTTAAATATTCATGCTCTGCTCTCTGTTAATCAAAATCACTAACCCCCATTGCTTGGCTGCTGTCTTGCTGGCTTCTTGCGATGATGGTGCTAAAGAAACTTGGATACAAAACAATACCAACAACACGCACACACACACACACACACACATACCAAGATGTGGGTGCTTATGGGTCTGAAGTGTTTCCAGTTAAAATTGTGCAATTCAGCATTGTCTGTTTTCTCTGGGATGTTGAATGAGCCATCGCTATCCCTTCCATCAGCATTTTAGAACCACTACCCTCCCCTTTTTGCTTCTCTCGTGTTGAGTTCACCAAACTTTGTCCTTGCTTAAAAGCAAGGCGTTTTCCAAAATAATTCATATTCTAGTTCATTTTTCAGACACGATAAAATTATCTTACAAAACAGAAGAAATGGACTATAATTGAACAAAATATGGTAATAATATCACGGGTTGTTTCAATAACAACTTTTCGGTGAAGGAAATAAACATTTTGTGTTTTTGTTTGTTGATTTGTTTTAAAAGAAGATGTGATACAACAATGGAAACTTTCCAACTAATCACTTAATTTAAAAGGAAGAGAAAAATAGCTCCTAAATAAAACTTTGTGTTTTATTTTTGTAACTGTATTTTGTCAAGTTTTCTACAATGGGTAGTTTTACCATTACAATAAAAATAAGTTATATTTGCTAAAAGCTGAGCAATTGCTAAATTTTATGTTTCAGAATTCATCAAGTTCCTCCTTACCTGTGTCATCTGTGAGAGAAATGTTGGTGAATGTGCTGTCCTCCTCTTCCTCTTTGCTGGACCCGTCCATCTTGTTTACTTTCCGGCCTGTTAGTGAGAATAATGAGGGCAGGGAAAACGGCTGCTCTCCCTTGTGATCACCCTTGTTGAATCATTAATAAATGAGCGTCCACGCAGGTGGTATCTGATCCTTGCACAAGCCACCTTCTCCCTGCTTTCCGCCTGAGAGGTTCTTACCTGAGTCTTGCAGTCCTAACCGGAAATAGTCAAAGACCCAAGTTAAAGTGTTATAAACCTTTACCTGTAGCTGTTGAGTTAGCATGACTGCTGTACCTGGCAGAAGGCCAAACCTTACTTTCAGTCCAAGGACAGTCTGCCAGAGCTGAATTGCCCAGGAACATTGCCCAAAAAAGCACTGCAATGACGTTGCAGGAAGAAATTAAGTTGTATTTGCTTAGCATATTTTGGGGACCCCTGCAATAAACTTGTCAAGGATTTTGGTCGGTGACCTAGCAGCATGACTTGGTCACAGAGCCTCAGTTTCCTGTCCTATATGATGATAAATCTTTTGTAAGGATTAAAAGTGAATAGCATGCACTTGTTAAATGTCAGCCACAATAATGACCACAAATGATCAGACATATGCAAGGAAATAAAATTTGCTATGTAGTGAGCTTATGGGTCCCCTCTCATATTACTGTGTCTATACCTGACCCTATGAAAGTTTATTAAAATGACAGATCTCCCTTCTCTATTTTGGAGGAGGGCACAGTAGCCTTGCTAGCCCTTAGGCCAAGGGCCCTTTGTTAGAGGAGGAAGCATTCTTTTACAACTATTTTCCTTGGTCTCCTCATCCATACTCAGATACATAGACAAACCCAGGAGTATTTTAGAATTTCATGTCATCACTCTTTCAGAGGAAAAGGAAATCAGCCAAATTTGATGAAGAATTTTAAGCAGATATCAAAATTGAGTTACTACATAGTAAGTTCTGCCTTCAGTGCTTTGAAACATAGGATTTTTTTTTAATTCACCTGAGTTCATCGTTGCTCTATCAAGCAAAATGGTTGTAAGCTGTTAGAAATCCTGCATGTTAAAAATTAAATTCACGAGGATAGAATTCCCCCTAATTTCCTAATTACAGTCTATAAATATTGAGTGCCTATTCTATATAAGCTAGGGACTTTGGAGGTTCAAAGTAACAGATGGTTATTGCTGTTAATAAGCTTATAAAACAGCTCAAAGGCAAGAGTTCTGGAGGTTTAGAGAAGGGAAAGAGTATGTCTGGCTAGCAGATCTTGAAAAACTTAAAGAAACTGACATTTAAGATGCATGATCAATGATAAGTGGGATCCAATAGGCAAAAATGGCCAGGTGGTGAGCACATTCTCAGTGAAAGGTATGGAAAAAGGCTCAGAGATGGGAAAGTAGTAGGCACATATGGGAACCAAGAGCGGAAGACATTAAGTAGCTAAGAAGTAGGTAAAGCAGAATAGAGGTTAACGTTGTATCTAAGAGAGCTTTGAATGCAAATGTGTTAGTCTAAGTCCTCTAAGAACTGGACACTTAGATGGGATTAAAAGGGTGAGAAAAATTAGAGAGGGAGCAAAGGAGAAGCTGGGAGAGCCATTAGGCCACAATACTAACCCAGCAAGGAGAAAGCAGGAGGGAAGGTCTAGCTTATCTTTCACACTAAGGAAGTTTCAACAAGATTGTGGAAAATTACTCTAGTCAAAGCTGACCATAAGAGCAGTCCTGTGTCTCCAAGGAATGGCCTCCCTTGACATTCCTGCAGCAGCACTTGGTTACTGGCTGGGAGCAGCTGGCAGGAAGTAAGTCCTCTGTGCAAACGTGGTAGTGGGTTTTCAGAGCACAGCAACTGAGGCCTTAGTCAATTACACTCTAGCAACTCTCTATATAATCATGGACGAATACTTTAAGAAGCATAGAAATAACCTCTCTTGCCTGACCCATCCTCTGTCAGTCCTAGACATAATAGCACACACTTAAGTAATGGTTACTCCGTGCTGAGCAACAACCCCACCAATATTATCCCCATTTAAAAGATGAGGGAGCTGAGGCATGAAAAGAGAATAAATAAGACAAGCAGCTAAGTGAGTAGTAGAGCTGGGTCCAGAGTCTGTGCTCTTAACGACGATATTAACTACTCCTAATAAGATTATTAGGGAGGGGAAGGAAGAGAAGCATTAATCTACCTGGCAAAATAATTTAGAAACCAGGGGCACTTGGGTGGCTCAGTCAGTTAAGCAACTGCTCAGGTCATGATCCCTGAGTCCTGGGAGCTGGCTACCAGCTCAGTAGGGAGCCTGCTTCTCCCTCTCCCTCTCTGCCACTCCCCTGCTCATGCTCTCTCTCTCAAATAAATAAATAAAATCTTTTAAAAAAAGAATTTAGAAACCAAAAGGCACATTTGGTTTAAATTGCATATTTGGGTTTTATTTTTATTACTCATGGCCAATTGTACTTTTTGCTAGAATTAGCTTAGGTCCTTGATTCTTTGCCTCCTTTCCGATTACCTTAAAAAGGTCATTTATTGGGTGCCTGGGTGGCTCAGTCAGTTAAGATTCTGCCTTCGGCTCAGGTCATGATCCCAGGTTCCTGGGATCGAGCCCCACATCAGGCTTCCTGCTCTGCAGGAAGCCTGCTTCTCCCTCTCTCACTCCCCTTGCTTGTGTTCCCTTTCTCTCTGTATCTCTCTCTGTCAAATAAATAAATAAAATATTTTTTTTAAAAAGGTCATTTTTTATGAAGTATTTATCCTAATGGACAGGGGAATGAACAGAGATAAAACTCAAGTCAGTCAGCATCGCTACTATCTCCATAGTCTTTGGGGAATAGTTATGATGGAGATGTTCACTTTTAACTGGAGTAGAGAATTATCTGTGGGTTGAAATTATCCATATTGACCATTTCCCGCTATGTTTTCTCCTAATAGTTTTGTTGTTTTAGCCCCATTTTAAGTCACTGAACTATTTTGAGTATAATTTTTTTTTAAAGATTTTATTTATTTATTTGACAGACAGAGCTCACAGGTAGGCAGAGAGGCAGGCAGAGAGAGAGGGGGAGGCAGGCTCCCTGCTGAGCAGAGAGCCCGATGCAGGGCTCGATCCCAGGACCCTGGGATCATGACCCGAGCCGAAGGCAGAGGCTTAACCCACTGAGCCACCCAGGCGCCCCGAGTATAATGTTTGTATGTGGAGTAAGATAGGGGTGCAGCTTCACTTCTTCGCATGTGGATATTCCGTTGTCCCAACACCATTTGTTGAAGGGAACATTTTTCCCTCCTTGGATGGTCTTGGCATCCTTGTCAAAAATCAACTGGTCTTAGACATTTGGGTTTAGTGTTGGAATCTCTGTTCTATTCCATTGGTTTATATGTCTATCCTTATGTCAGTACCACACTGCTTTGATCACGATAGCTTTGTGGTAAGTTTTGAAATCAGGAAGTGGGAGTACTCCAACTTTGTTTTTAAATAATGTTTGACTATTTGGGGTCCCTCAAAGTTCCATATGGATTTGAGGACGGACATGGATCTGTCAATGGACTCCTAGACTTAACACCAAAAACATAAGAAGCAAATTAAAAATAACCTGGACATCCTAGAAATTTAAAAAGTGTGTATATCAAAGGATATTATCAAGAATGTGAAAAGGCGGGGCACCTGGGTGGCTCAGCAGGTTAAAGCCTCTGCCTTCGGCTCAGGTCATGATCCCAGGGTCCTAGGATCGAGCCCCCCATCAGGCTCTCTGCTCAGCAGGGAACCTGCTTCCCTTCCTCTCTCTCTGCCTGCCTCTCTGCCTACTTGTGATCTCTGTCTGTCAAATAAATAAATAAACTATTTTTTAAAAAAAAGAATGTGAAAAGGCTATTTACAGAATGGGATAAAATAGGGTGCCTGGGTGGCTCAGTTGGTTAAGCGTCTGCCTTTGGCTCAGGTCATGATCCCAGGATCCTGGGATCAAGTCCTGCATCAGGCTCCCTGCTCAGTGGGGAGCCTGCTTCTCCCTCTGCCTACCTCTCTCTCTCTCTCTCTCTATCTCTCTCTGACAAATAAATAAATAAAATCTTAAAAAAAAGAATGGGATAAAATATTTGCAAATCCCATATTTGAGAAGACTTCAACTTCCAGAATATATAAGAACTCTTACCATTCAACAACAAAAGGACAACGTAATTTTTTAAAAGGGCAAAGAACATGAAAAGATATGTCCTCAAAGAAGATATATGAATGGCAAATAAACACATGAAAGTATATTAAATATTATTGGTCATTAAGAAAATGCAAATCAAAACCACAACGAGATACCAACTCACCTACTAGGATGACATTCATAAAAACAATAACAAAAATGGGGCACCTGGGTGGCTCAGTTGGTTAAGCAACTGCCTTCAGCTCAGGTCATGATCCTGGAGTCCTGGAATTGAGTCCCACATCAGGCTCCCTGCTCAGCAGTGAGTCTACTTCTCTCGCTAACCTCTCTCTCCTCTCATTCTCTCTCTCTCTCTCTCAAATAAATAAATAAAATCTTAAAAAAATAACAAAAATGGAACATTAAGGCAATGATACAGAGAAATAAGACCTTGATCCATTGCTGGAGGGGATGCACGACGATGCAGCCACTGTGGAAGGCATTTTGGTAGGTCCTCAAAATATTAAACATAGAGTTATCATATGACCCAGAGATTCCACTCCTAGGATATATATCCAAAAGTAATGGAAATATATGTCCACATAGAAAATTGTATATGAATGTTTATAGTAGCATTATTTATAGAAGCCAAAAGGTGGAAACAGCCTAAATGTCCATCAGGGGAAGAATGAATAAACGTATTGTGATATACAAATATCACAATATTTGTATATCACAATATACAAATCTTTTGAGATATTGTCAATCAAAAAGCAGGACCACAGTGCTGTTACGTGCTACAACTTAAATGAATCTTGAAAACATGTTAAGAAGCTAGACACAAAGAGTGACATATTGCATGATCCCTTTTATATGATATATCTAGAATAAGAAAGTCCATAGAAGCAGAAAACGGGGTGGGAGAAGG